GTCCCATATGGTGTCTTAGCTCCACACAGGCAAAGGTGCTACTGGAAAATATGGTTTGGTTATTAGAAAACCCAGCAAAGGGAATTTCTCCTTTAACCTCTGATTTATTTTGTTTAAATGGTCATAAATATCTGTTAGGCACTTTCCAGAGCAGTGGGTTCATAATTTAAAATAAATAAAATCTCTCAGGTTAATCAGTTTCTCTTCTTGGCTTCTGGCCCCTGAGCTTTGTTCTGCTGGTTTTTGAGAGCCTTCACTTGACTTCTGAATTCTGAGTAGAAGCTGATCATGGCCATATGGACTTTATTCCTTTCCTAAATTACACATTTAGCATCTTGGATCCGTCACATGCTCATTTCTGTCTCCTTTCTTATGTTTTTCTATCAGATAAGACTTGAATATCTAAATATTCTCAATAATTTAACTGTTACACTGGGTTAGTTTATTCTTAGGTCATCCAGTTTTGTGTTGGATAGATGCAAACACCCCAGAGCTTGAGTGTTGCTTCTTCCATAGCCTCTTTAACCCAGCAGCAGGAAAAGGAGGGCTGAAGGCATGCTCTGCTTTCGACTCTTCCCCCTTCTTTAAAATAGCCTCTGAAGGCTGCCAGAGCAGAGATGCTGTGGGCTGTAAGTGAGAGTGGGGAAAATGGGGGATTGTGGTGAGAAATTGGGCTGTCCCCACTGATGGAAAGTGGGGAGGAAGGAGGGACAAAGTGCCACTCTGCTCTTCAGCTTCCAGCATGAGAATTTCACTGGATGAGCTCTCGTGTCTTCTCTGCACCTCAAATGTGATTGGCACCATAGAGAGAAGCAAGACAACTGGTTTGGGGTTTGCCTCAAATGTGATTGGCACTGTAGAGAGAAGCAAGACAACTGGTTTGGGGTTTTTTTCCCTCTTTGTACACAGAGTTCCCTGAAACTTCACCCAGAGAAGCATCACAGCAGTCATACAGTGAAAACTGCAACTTGTATTAACTATTTCTGTAGCGTGGCCCATGTATATTGTATGGCAAGTTTCAGTGTCTCCTCATAGCTCTGAAGAAAGGCAGCGACCTGTCACTGTTGAGTTCGCATGGATGTGGCTGGGGAGGATTTAGTGTGCTGTGTGGCCAGTGTAGATTTGCTGTGGTGAAGGAGTTCATTGATTCTATAGTGTTGTGGTGGAGAAGAAGAGAAAAACACTCTGTAAACCAAGTAGTTTGGCCTTTCAGCTCTGAGGGCTGGATCTTGCCCCCTATTTAACTGCCAAGGAGATAAATTCTAATCCTGTGGTTATCATTCTCATTTGAAAGTCTGTTACATCTGTGATATTTTGATTGTTTCAGGTGGTGGTTACCACATATCTTAAGTGTCTACCAAAAACTTCTATGCAATCACAGAAACTATGGGGCTTTAAGTTTGTCACCGTTTGGAGAATCACAGTTAATTTTTAGAATGGCAGCTATAGCCTTCATTGACATCTTCAGTAAGTGCCTTTAGGAATTACTCTGCTCAAATGGCAGTGGAGAACACTTGGGTATCAAACGCTTTTAGTGACAGGAAAAGTGGAGAAAAGTTCTTGTTTTCTTTTCTGCCTTTTTTCAGGATTTTTCACCCTGAAAGACGTGACACTACAGTCTATGACAGAAGTAATATTTTCTTACAGCCTGTTTTATATAAGCAATACATTGAGTTTTGTAGAAGGTGGACATTTACACTAACTTCAAAATCTTGGTAATGCCCTCTATACCTGGGAGCTGTCACCACAGGATTTCATTACCAATTAGAAGAACAAGTTCAGCTGTTTCCATTGAGGACATTGCCACGGCCCGGGAGATGTGTGTTTGTATGCGCATCCCTGTGTCCATTTGCACACATAGAATTAATTACTCTGGTTTGCTATGGAAACCGTTCTTCTCTATCATACATAAATAAGGGCTAAGCATTTCTAGAAATTTAGAAAAGAGGAAAGGAAGTGTAAAGACTGCTATAATTAAACTGTTCCTGAATTTTGGCACAATTCTTAAGTTCAAATTTGAAATTGGGTGCTGACTGAGATGCTGCTTGGTTCTTAGAGACTTTGTTAATTCTTTCCTTACCGAAGCGAGCGTATTCTTAGTCACTAGTATGTTCTGAAATGTTGATCCTTTTCAAGAAATGTGCTGCCTTGCTGTTTTTATGATACAATGCCTTTCGTCTGCCTCTTCACTGGGAATATGTATTCCGGCTGTATTACAGGAATGAAGTAAGCATCACCTTTTCATGTAAGATATGGGCAAGTGATATATTGCAGGCAAAGTTAAGTTTTAGAACTTAAGTAGAACATGCTTTTGTATGCTGAAACATTAGGCTAGAATATGGAATACTGTTTAGTTTTACTTCCTAAAAATGTAAATTGGTGTCAAAAACCACAAAACGTGTATTGTACTGTACTGTATGGCCAAAACGATTGGGCATTAAGAGATGATTAAACGGAAAATTACATACTGTAGAACGTGACTCATTATGGGCAAAATATACCAGTAAGGTAATGAGGAAAAGAAAAAAAAAAGTGTGAGTCAGGTATGCTATGTAAATCAGATGATTTGATAGTATAATAATTATGGCATTTTGATGTTATGCTTTACAAATAACTGAACCTGGTGGCTGTCTCTGTCAGGCATTTCTGTAACAGGCAGCAAAACTGAAGAGCTGATGTTCTAAGCAAGTTCATTTTCCTGCTTTTTGTGGGTAGCAGCTGTATAGGGAGAATAGACTGAACAAACTTGGTTCCCAGTTCCCAACTTGTCATCCTGACTCCAATGCAGAATCAAGATCATCTGATATGATGCTGTTAGCCTGTGTGTTATGTTTCGATTGTAACACAAAACCTCTGAGGTTTGTTTGTAAATTCAGCAATGCTGCTGGAATATGGTGCATCTCCACAGGAGGGCTCTGCTGGCATAGCTATACTAGCACACACTGAGATGCTCATGGGATTTTTCGCCTACTCCATTTCTTTTCCATTTCCCTAGCAGAAAAGCTGGATTGCTGCCCTGTGTGCAGTGCAGCAGAGCATCGAAAAGGTGGCTGTTGAGGAACTCGACACTAGAAAGATAGAAGTGCTCCTTTTGTGTCAGACTTGCATCTCCTTCCCCTAGCAAGAAGAGATTCAAGTGCTGCTGTTAAAAACAAGTACATTGAAAAACAGGCTTTAATTTTGTTTTTGAGCTTACCTTGCAATTGGTTCTTTTTAATAAACATTAAGAGATTGCCAGTTACCTGTTTTTAATGGGTTGAACTGGCGGCAAAAATATGTTCCATGTCAGTGGTACATCTAATCTCTGAGTTCTTAGAGCTATAATAAAGTTGAAATTCTGTGTCTATGTGGAAATACTACAGTGAGAAGAGACAGAAAAAAGAAGAAAGCATACTGTGCTTGTCAGAAAAAAAAGGGGGGGGGAGTTTGTTTGTTTTCTGAGGGCAGGAGGTTGTTTGAGGGTTTTTTGTTTTTAATATTAAATCCATCTGCCAAGGCTCAAGTGGCAAGAATTGAAGCATTCTCCAGTGCATGCTGTGGAATGAAAATGCCTGGAAACCATTAGTACCAATATGTGCTATTTATATTGCCGAGACCTTATCCTACCCAACAGCAGTGATCGTGGCACTGGTGGAGAGAAAAACACAAGATATTTGCTGCGTTATGAAACTTAAGAACCTTGTCTGCCTTCCTCAGATGCTGAAGTTTCCTTTCTCCCAAGGGACACTGAAGTGATGGTGACATCAAGACAGTGTTGCAACTACTGTGACAAGCTGGAAGTCCTGCCTAGTCTCTCAAAACCAGGGAATATAGATTCATAGCCCTGCCGCAAAACTTCTGAGTATTTGTATTTGCATACTCTTGGTGTGAGTTCATGATGTAAGGTAGCAGAAAGAAGGTCAGGTGAGAGCAAAGTACATAAAGTTGTGGTTATACAAATTATGCTGCTATCTAGTGGGCTTCTTATACAGTTAAAGTAAAACTTAGTGGGGATTTTTTGTTAAGTTATTTGGCTAGGATAGAAACATTCCCAAGGTTGGCTTTTAGTCCCTGCAGGATCACAGCATTCAGCATTAACTGTCTGAATCATGAATAGGAGGAAAGGGAAATTGCTTGGAGGAAAATAATTCTTTTATTTAAATTAAACAGACTCTAGCATGTAAAAACACACAAATAGTTTTTAGGGCAAGAAATTAAGCCATTAAGTAATTTTCTTTAGTTTCTTGGTCTGGAGAAGTACAAAACAAATGTTACAAATACTTTTTGACAAAAATATGTTTAAATGCCTTAGTCTTTTGGCTCTTCTGCATTATACCTGACTATCACGTGAACTGTAGCAAATGTAGCAGGGGATTATAGTTTTCCTACGTCTGAGTATTTGATACTAATATCTTGGTAGGAAGTGTGCAGTCTTTGGACTATAAATAGTTTTTCCTTACCATTTTCAAAGTTATGATCATACCATGAGCGTGTTGAACTTCAGGATAAGTTTTGTGAGATCTTTAACTGCCTACATCTTGTAAGAAATGAAGCTTCCTCCTGAATCAATGTTACATCTCAAGTTTAGATTGAAGTGCATCATCATTAATGATACTGGTCTCGGTTCATATTTCAGATAACATTGAATACCAAGCTTGCTGAAAAATGTGTTCAGTGAAACCCTTAGGATGTGTAGAATTGGAGTATCTAACACACTTTAAGTAAATGTAGCTTTATACTCATTGCACATCTTTTCTGTTAATTTATAATATAAGAGTGACTGTGGTAAGAGCTATTCTGAACTTTTCTGTAAGAACTGATTTTGCAGAGAGCAAGATCCTTTCTCAGTAGCTAGCAGCCTGTGTTTGGTGCTTATAAAAAATCTTGTGATACTCTAAGTTACAGATTTTGTGGTAAGTGAAACTTTGTATCAACTACATATTGTTTTCCATCTTAACTTATTTTTATAATTTTAAAGCAGTTAACAGAACTTGAAATAAATATTTGTCTCTTTGGTATAGACAACATTGCTAAGTCGCCTGGAACGAATATTTGAAGTCTGTTTTCCTTCCGTACCTGTTCTTGAAATTGAAGAAGAAATAAGTTCCTTGAATTATTTGTTGAAAGCAGGTGAAAAGCAGATGACAGCTGAGGAAACCTTAGCAAATAGTGGGTAAGAAGCCACAATGCCTCAAACTTAATTTTAAGTAGAAGCATGTCGTCTTTGGGAACATAAAATATATAGCAGTCATTCAAAATGAGTTGTTCGCTTCAAGAATTTTGAGAAGCTATTGAGTAAAACTTAGCTGTCTATCAGGTTGCTTGTTTGCAATGACTACGTGTACTAGGAGTATTTCACTTACGTATCAACGTAGTCAGCAGCATGTCATCCTCTAAGTGATGTCTCCAGGTTAATCAGAGTATGTTTTATTAGTTACACTTGATATAAATTGCTATATTTATTCATGTGATGAGGAAGTCTAAATAGGCCTTGTCCTGCCTGCTCTGGACATTGTTTTCTGGTTATAAGTCTGAACTATAATTGTTCTGAGAACACTGTGCAGTTTTAGTTCCCCTGGGTGTTATGCTTGGGCATAAGTTTAATTGGAACGTATAATAAGTCACTTGCATTAAAAACTAGAATAAATATTCAAGGCTGCTAAGCTGTTATGCCTGTTGATAACTTGATTTATGATGGGTTGTATAGGGAACTGATGGATGTGTGGACAGAGCTGCAGGATATCCATGATGCGTATGGACTGAGATACCAGTGGGGTGGCTCCCACAGCAACAAAAAGCTTTTGCGCTCCTTGGGAATCGACACAAGAAATATTGTGAGTCTGTCAATGAAACTTGCTTTCTAAATAATGAAGCTGCTCTAAATGTAGAATCAGGTGGAAGTCCTTTTGTGTGAATGCTTGTCTCTTAATTGCATAGCTGCAGTGAACATGGCTTTTCATGACAGACCATCTGACAACTTTTTATAAGACCTGTTAATATTAGAAGTTGCATTAGTTTCTAACTATTGTGTTACATTTAACATAGTATTTATTCTCTGATATTATACAAGTTATATAACACTGAAAAAAATATTATCATCACTGACGTAGAAACTCTTAAATAAATTTTGTTGTTGTTTTATCAGCTCTTTACAGGCAACAAGAAACAGCCTGTTATAGTACCCATGTATGCAGCAGGACTGGTAAGCTTTTTTCAGTGTTATTTTGTTGTTATAGTTCCAACAATATTATGTAATGAAACATATTAAATAACATTAAGCTCTGAATATGCTGAAAGATATTTTTGTGAGTACAGTTATGGCTTAGGCATCACTTGAAATGCTAGAAAAGAATAATCAAATACACAATTTTCATTACGTGTGCAAGCAGATACTTTATTTTAAATTTAAAAAGTAGTGCTTATTTCATAGTGCAAGCTATTTATTTAATAAGGTGGGCTAGCTAGTCCAAGCTCAGTTTGAGACATTTTCTAAAAGAGGAAAAATTGATTTGAAGTAATGTATTAATGTGTATGCAGCAATAAAAAGTTCTTCTTGTTGAATTGTATTTATACTAAAAGTTGACACAAGGAACTACATGGTTAAATAGTTGTCAAAAATGACAAAGGAACATTGAAATTAATCAAAACATCAGTTCACATCAGCAGCTATGGGAAGCCCCGGCAGTAAGACCAGATGCGTCAAAGGAAGGTGGTTAAGAACTGCCAGATAGTTATGGTATTCCATGAAATGTGTGTAGGAAGTTTTCTCGGTGCTCTCGAGCATTATTCTTTGTGCAACTGTTTCCCTGACAGAATGTTTATTAATTACTTGATTGCATCTCAATATCCCAAGATCAAGAGAGGTGTATGGTAATGCTTTGCAGTGTTATTGCCATATTAATAAAGGACCCACATTTTTTATTTATATATATATGTATATATGATCC